TAAAACGATGGTATTTAAACGGGTAATTAGTCCCACGCATTATAAGGCTAGCGTTTATTAAAATTAATTAATGAAAGGCTCGTATAATTTAACAAAATTAAACAAATCATATATAGTAGGTCAACTGAACGAGCAAATAAATAAGGTGTAAAAATTTTTATTAATAGTTAAATAATTAAATTAACATTCCGTTACAGAATCGATATAAATTGTAAACGTTTCGACTGCACTACAGTCTTTATCAATACATAAAAGTTAAATATTAAAATACAAAGTTAAATGTTAAAAATACAAAGTTAGTTAAATATTAAAATATAAAATTGAAACGATTCTTCGCTGTTGACCAATAGATATGCAAGGCGATTGGTCTGAGATGCCAAGTTATGCGACATTTGAGCATGCTACGGATATAATACGCGAATTAAATCAATGTCAGAGAAAATTAAAAAATCTTTCAACTTACATTATCGTTTTAACAAGTCCTTTTCCCCGATATTTCAAGTGTGTGTTGCGAAGTCTGAATACCAAATGTCAAAATAGAGAGCGTGATATATTTATTTATTACCAATGTTTTTTCTAAATTATGATTCAGCAAATTTTTTAAGTATGTCAAAATAACTACTGTCTAACAATTCGGTGTCTGTATTTAAATTAATTCCATTTTTCTGTTCTTTAATGTGGATCATTTCAGATAATAGTCTTTTATGGTAGTTTTTTTCGTGATCCATAATTTTAATATTGTCCCAGTCAAATGTATGTTGTTCGTTTAGAATGTGTTCCGTGACAACCGAATGTCTAGCAGAGTCTAATTTAATATTATTTTTATGTTCTTTAAGTCTCGTTCCTAACTGTCTTTTTGTCTGTCCGACATATGTAGCGTCACAATCGTTGCAATTCAATTTATAAATAACATTAGAATTCGTGGGGCGATTATTTTTGTCCTTTTGAACTTTTATGAAGTCATTCAATTTTTTAATGCAACGATATCCTACCACTACGTCAGGTCTTCTTATTGCTGAAGCAACTTTCTCAGATATTGATTCTATATATGGTATGACAAAATATTTAATGTTAGTATTAGTATTATTAGTATCTGTTATATTGTTATTATTAGGCTTGTTAAATTTCTTAGTTGAGAGACTTTTTAATCTGCGTTTTATTTCTGTGAAAATTAGATCAAGAGGATAACCGTTGGATAGCAAAATGTTAATAGCTTTCTCTATATTTTTTTTGTGAAATTGCGGATGTGATAGTAATAAAGCTCTATCTACCAAGTTATAAATTGTTCCTATTTTATGACAAGTCGGATGATTTGAAAAAAATGAAAGTAATCTACCTGAGAATGTCTTTTTGTGATACCAATCTAAATAAATTTTATTATCTATTACTTTGGTCATTATGTCTAAAAAGCTTATACAACGATTATCCTCTTTTTCCAATGTAAATTGTAGTCTATCGTTATAATTGTTGAATTCGTTCAAAACATATGTAATATTGTCAGCGGAAGTGCATAAAATAATGTCGTCTACATAACGGAAATAGAAAGTCATTTCGCAATTTAAATTACTAATTACTAATGTTTCCAAGTCCTGCATGACTATATCGGCAATGATCGGAGAAAGTGGGGAACCCATAGGAGTCCCATAAATTTGTTTGTAAGTTATGTTATTAAAAGTGAAAAATGTAGAAGTTAGTATAAATTTTATCATACCTATGAATTCATTTTTGGGAATCTTTGTGTGTGACTCTATAAAATGCCATCTATTATTGATACCGTTTAATGCAAGATCTACGGAAACATTAGTAAATAATGAAACAACGTCCAATGAAACTATTATGTCGGTATCTTGTATTGTTTTCCCTGATAGAGTGTTGCATATATCAAAACTGTTATTTACAAAACTGTCCGCTCTAGGAAGGCTATCTTTTAAAATTTTATGAAAGAAAGAAGCAATATTATATAGAGAAGTATTTATTGAGGAAACTATTAATCTAAAAGGAATATTTTCCTTGTGGATCTTGGGGAGCCCATAGGCTTTAGGAAGAAGAGAGTCGCTTGAAAATAAATAATAATATTCTTTTTTGTTGATGAAGTCTTTTTTCAACCATTTTTTTAAACAAATATTGAGTTCTTTTTCTATTTTTGTTGATGGATTGTTTTTAACTATGGTATACGTAGAATCGTCTTCTAGGAGACTCTCAACTTTTTTTATATAAAATTCTTTTTCTAGTGCGACTGTAATGCTGCCTTTATCTGCTCTAGTAAATAAAATATTAGGATTTTGATTGCAGAATTTAATTGTGTCTTTATGCATGTAAAATAATTTTTCTTGTATGTCCGTTTTTTTGTCGTTATTGTTTAAAAATAAACATTTTAAATTTAACGCTTTAAGAACTGTATCCTCAAGATCTTGCATAACCAAGTCAGCTATAATTGGTGATAACGGAGACCCCATAGGGGTCCCAAAAGTCTGTTTGTAAATTATGTCATTAAATGTAAAATAAGTAGAAGTCAATATGAATTTTATACCACATATAAATTAAATTCGCTTTTCGGCATTCTAGTATTTGTTTCAATGTGATCCCATCTATCATTAATCCCATTAATTGCAAGATCTAGAGGTACGTTTGTAAATAAAGAAACAACATCTAAAGAAAACATCTTATCGTTCTCATCAATCTTTTTACCAGACAACATGCTGTACAAATCAAAACTATTATTGATATGACTTTTAGCTTTAGGTAGGCTAGTTTGTAAGATGTTTTGTAAAAACGAAGCCAGCGAATATAAAGCTGTATCAACCGATGAAACTATGATTCTAACTGGATAGTTTTCCTTATGGATTTTAGGTAATCCGTACGCTTTTGGAAGGAGAGAATCTCTAGAACGTAATTTATAATATTCATTTTTTGAGATATAATCTTTCTTAAGCTATTTCTTCAACAAATTATTCAATTCATTCTCTATTTTTTTGCACGGATTTTTATTAACAATAGTGTATGTATTAACATCTTTTAATACGTTTTCTATTGTATTAATATAATAAGATCTTTCCATTGCAACCGTAGCGTTACCCTTATCCGCGCGTGTGAATATAATATTCGGATTATTTTTACAAACTTTTATTGAATCTCTGTATGAACAAAGTAGTTTTTGTTGAATTAAGTCATTTTTATCATTAGTGTTGAGAAGTTGTGCAAATTTCGGAACAGCAATATTTCTAATAGTTGTGAGATTATTAATATTATTCCGTTTATGATTACTCTCTATGTCTTTAATAAATTCATGTATAGCTATTTTTTATTGATGTTTGGGAGGCAGAAATTATCCCCTATTTGCAAAAGATTAGAAACGTCAGGAGGAATATCTATATTGGACAGATTGATAAACCATTTTTCATTGGTATTTTCCAAAGGATGAATCATATTATCAAGAAATTTATTGGCTTCTATGTGTATACTAATATCCTTAGCATCATTAGTGATTGCCCTAGGATAATTTTTCGATATTTTTGTCGGATGTGAGATTTCATAGTGTAAGAAACAATGTATATTTATTTGGGTTTGATGCTGTTGATATACTTATAATGTTGTTTTCTCATAAGCCAATTAAATTTCTAGAAAGAGACATTTGAAATACGTCTTTACCATAATTAATAATCGATCGTGGACTAAAATGTGATTTATTTCTTCGAGAAACATTTTCTGTTTTTCAGCAAAGTTATAAATTTGTGGAAAAAATATAAAAATATATTAAATAAAATATACAAAAGAGATTTTTATAATAATAAAAATTATAAAAATTTAATAATTTATTTAAATTATAAAAAGTAAAATATTTATAAAATTTTTATTATTACCCAGATAGCCACAGTAATTATTATGACATCAAATAAATGCATCATTTTGATGGCAAATGATGCATTTTGACATCAAAATAATGTCATAATAATTACTGTGGCTATCTGGGTATAATATATTAATTGTTATAGATTTTTTTAGAATTTTAAATATATTTATAATATATTTATAATATATTTATAATATATTAATTGTTGTAAATTTTGTTTAGATTTAAAAAAATACATTATTAAAAGTTTTAATACATTTAATTTTTAATAATACGCATATATATATATATATATTAGTAAAAGCTCCATTGATAAGTTTAAGGTCAAAAATAACTATAGTTGAAGTTAAAAATTAATATATTTTAAATTAACTAATTTTAAGTTATTAAAAAGTTATTAACTTTTTTAACTTGTAACTAATTAACTAGTTATTACCCAATAACCCTGTCAATATTTTTTAATATTTTTCATTGTACGATATTTATATTTTCAAATTTGGCGCTTTATTCAATGAAGGACATGGCGGCATGTCACGTGATCTTGTATGTATCAATATCAAAGGTGCCGCACTTCCGAAACAAAATAATTGTGCAAGAATGAGGGTGCGTTCCGTTATGCACTGCAAGTACTGGCACTATGACGTCATGCAAGTGTACTGTTGACAGCGTTCCTTTTTAATTTTGTACACTTTGAAGCTACTGCAAAATAGTAAAACGGAACGCACTACAGTACGCTTTCAGCAGACTTTTAACTAACCTTTTTCGCTAATAATCATCGAGTGAAAAATTGGTGAAATGGATAATACCATTATTGCATTAATTACATATAATTTAATCGAGAATATATATGATTCGAGTGAGTCATCAAGTGAAAGCGATTTGGAAATGGAATTAATAAATGAAATGAGACGACAAATTAAAATACCTAGAATAAAATGTAAAAATTACGTTAAAAATATTGTATCATTATATTCAGATATGGAATTTAAAAGTTAGTTCCATCGTACACATGGAGGTAGCCATCTTGATTACTGCGAGTGCTTTACCTCGCCGGTTGCAGTAATCGCAACAGGAAATAACGTCAAAATTAATGACGTCATATACTCATGATAGTACTTTCGCAGTGCACTGCTATCTATATCGGAACGCTATTGGTAGTACTGTCAGTACTTGCAGTGCATAACGGAACGCACCCTGAGTCATTCGTCATTAGTCACGTGCTTATCACTGAGAAACTCGTTTTTGTCACTCTTCCGTATTCTTCTCATGTATACGTACACGTGCATCATTAACAATCTTATGTCGTGTATACGTCATAATCTAGCATAAACTTTTATCGATTCAATCAGTTTTTTATTCTTCGAGTATCTATAAGAGATGCAATTAAAAATAGAGATTTAATTTCTTTTATCTTGTCATATTAAAAAAAATGTCACAAACGGTGATTTCTGCTTCAGCGCATAACGATGTAGAAAATAACAGAGAAGACGACGATAATCTCGATGTATACGATTATAAGGACAGAGAGAGGTTAATCAAGTCTAGGAATAATTTTGCATCTTATTCCGAGAATGTCGACGTACGATTTCGAGTAAGTCAAGTTTGAAAGTTTGTTGAAAAAAAGCCTTGTATTTTAAATATTGTTTCTAAAATATATATAGAATATAATTTATAACTCTCATCTTAATTTTTAAATTTTACAGCCAATTATTAAATTTATATTTCGTTACAGCATCTCTTATTTTATCATTTTCGGATTTAAATTTAAAAAATTTTAATTAAAAATTTTTAACAAATTTAAAAAAAAATAAAATTTATTATATGATTATATGCTTATATTTGTTCACCATAATCAACTTACTTATAATAGAAATTTTACATAGATATATTTTCACATTTTGTATTTTTATGTTATTGTATTGAAGAAAACTGAGTACAGTCAAAATGTTTATCTTTCAATTATAATATATTAAAAAATAAAAATTATTTAACATTTAAAATTTCCTTGCTCGTTTAGTTTGGCCTATTTTTTCTTATTAATATAGAATATTCCATGTCAATAGAACACCATCGACAATAATATAGGATATAGCAGTATAGAGGCTATCTCGAGTCATTCTAGAAGGCTAAATATTGGGAACATAATTCCAGGAGCAACTAATTTCCTATCGACCAATTATGAGGTAATTGTCTAGTTATAAAATTAAATTCATACAATAATTGTATACATGTTTTCTCCTCTTTCATACACATTTCACAAATTAATTATCTCTATTTTCAGAGCTTGGATTATGATCCGTGTGAAAATTATCTTCTACAAGATGAAGAAAGAAAGAAGGGGTATAAATTTGTCGTTAGGAAAAATTTTGCCAGATGGTTTATCTTTCTTTTGATTGGAATTTGCACTGCTCTCATAGCATGCTTTGTAGATATATCGATAGAAGAATTGTCCAGCGTAAAGTACAGCTGGCTAAAGAAGTGTACGTTACATATACTTCTTTCATTTATCTGCAATACGTGTTGTATGATGTACCCTAAAAATAATGCACATTTCTTACATCAATGATAGATGTGGATCAATGTGTGGTAGAAAATTGTATGTGGTTACCATATATGATATGGCTGGTGCTAAATATGGTACCAGTTTTGATAGGTGCCATTCTAGTAGCCTACATTGAACCTGTTGCTGCGGGGAGTGGTATTCCACAAGTAAAATGTTACTTGAATGGAGTTAAAATACCACGAGTCGTACGCATTAAAACTTTGGCTGTGAAAACTATCGGCGTTATATGTACCGTAATTGGAGGTTTAGCCGGAGGGAAGGTAAGCAGTCTGCTGTAAACACTCTTCATTTATTATCTTTGATATCTCATGAATTTTTCGTGCAGGAAGGTCCTATGATTCATTCTGGCGCTATTGTGGCTGCAGGAATTTCTCAGGGTAAAAGCACCACTTTTAGGAAGGATTTGAATATTTTCGAATATTTTAGAGAGGATCACGAGAAACGAGATTTCGTGGCCGGGGGCGCCGCATCCGGAGTATCAGCGGCTTTCGGAGCACCAATTGGTAAATATAATATACAGAATGTCCGATAGAAAATTGCTGAAACTGATCAGCTGTCATTTTTTAATGCATGCAGTTATTGAAAAAACAAAATTTGTGTTGAAAAGAAGAAAGTCTACAGTTTTTAATGGATATAAATAAAATGTTTATATACCAATTTATTTTATTGAAAAAAAGTAATTAAAAAATGCTAATAATCACATATGTAAGCTAATAAATATTTTCGAAGTGCACACTATTTGAATTTATACAAAATTCTGTTCTTTTACGAAAACTAGTGAAAACTTTTTCTAACATGTCATTTTTAATGTTATTGAGGATCCTTTTAATAGCTGCTATTAAATCTGGCACTGTTAAAAATATGTATTATTAGTTTATGTGATTTTGTGATTATTAGCACTTTTTCATTACTTTTTATCAATAAAATAAACTAGTATACAAACATTTTATTTATATCCATTAAAAATTGTAGACTTTCCTCTTTCCAATATAATTTTTGTTTTCTCAATAACTGCATGCATTAAAAAATGACAGCTGATTAGTTTTTCAAATTTCGAGAACGTCATTACTTTTTCAAACAGACCCATTATTCTTATATAAATCGAATTCTAATATTTGAAAAAATTATTAGAGTGAAATAGTTAAAAGGATCAATGATTTAGAAGATAGCTTTGTTATTCTCTCTGATATATTTTGATAAAACAAAAAAAATATCTTATAATACTCATTTTTCTATAATCTTAATAATTTTCTGCATAGAATAGTAAGATAAATCAATTGATGTAAAAAAAACAGTGATTTTAAAAAGGTATGCAGTTATACATTGCAACTTTTTGTCAATAAAATAAATTATAATATTGATCAAAAGTATGTTTTATAACTTCTACATAACTTTTGTATGAAATATTTTTCGAAATCTTGGTTTTTTGAAAAATCTATGCGAAAGTAAAAATATGACATCTTATATATAATATTATTGTACATATCCTATAATTTTTTAAATTTTTCAGGTGGAGTCTTGTTTAGTATAGAAGAAGGAACTAGCTTTTTCAATCAGAGTCTCACATGGAGGACATTTTTTGCCAGCATGATTACCACATTCACTTTAAACGTGATCTTGAGCGCGTATCACGGACACTTGGGAGATCTCTCTTATCCAGGCTTGTTGAATCTAGGAAAATTCGAGTCGATTCCATATCAAATTTACGAGATTCCTCTGTTCATGATAGTAGGCACGTTCGGCGGATTGCTCGGCGCTCTTTGGAATCATGTCAATTACAAGATCACTTGCTTCCGTTTGCGATTCGTGACGCAAAAGTGGCTAAAAGTAATTGAAGCTCTCCTGGTGGCGATATTAAGCGCGACAATGGGCTCCTTGATGATATACTTTATCAATGATTGTAAACCATTAGGTAACGATCCTACCAAATTTCCAGTTCAAATGTATTGCGCGGAAGGACAATACAGTGCCGTCGCCTCGTTATGGTTTCAAACACCGGAAAGCAGTGTACGATCATTATTTCACGATCCTAAAGGTACGATGCACTCGATAAGCAATAATAAATATGTATAATTAAAGGTGATACATAGGGTGGTTCAAAAGTTCGGCAATTATCTCCAAAAATAGTGGTTCTATGAAAAAATATTAAATACAAAAATTGAAGGGCTCAAAATAAAGCACTTGATAATGACCTTGACTTTGACCAAAGGGTCAAATTTAGAGGTCATTTCACGGTCACCTTCAATTTCTTAAATGGAACTCCTTGTTTTTTATTACATATTCTTATAGCTTATCTCGAGTTTTCCAAAACAATATAATAAAGTATATTTTCAGTAAGTACTTTTTGAATTATAAAGGTTAAAAGTTAACAATTTTTTGACATAAAATGCAAATATCTTGTAAAATATTCAGTTAGATGCCAATTCGAAATAAAAAATTATTTTGATGAAAGCCATCTGAAGTTGTGTTTCATCAAAATATCTCTTTTTATCTAAAAATGGTATATAATCTTGCTACTGACAATCCAACATGACTGCAGCAAGCCTTAATTTTTTTATATTTATTAATCATTTATGATTATTATTATTTATATTATTTATTTAAATGATTATTATTTTATAATACAAAAACTAAAGAAAATTGAAGTAAAATAACATTAACTTCAATCTAACATGTTTAACAAAAAATTGTTGAATTTTCTTTTTATGAAAAAAATGCATCTTAGGTTTTAATGATCATTTTTGCAAGTTGTCATTTTTCTACTAATATATTAATAGTAATAATAAATATTTATATCTCTTATCCACTCTTGAGAAAGGACAGAAATAAATAGATGCATATTTACATCATATTTACTATTGATATTTCTGTGAATTCTTTTATTAGAAACCAGTCATAAATATAAGTTATGACTAGACTAACTTGATTCATAACAAAAAACTTTCTGGAAAGGTTAGCGAGGTTCTGTTAAAAAATACAAATTATATAAATATATAGGCAAGTGTACCTCTAAACTTTTCTTATTATATTATATATGTTACATGCATATGCTTGCAGGATCTCACAGTGACATAACATTGGCCATCTTCGTTATTCTATATTTCTTCCTTGCTGCCGCTACTTTCGGCCTATCGATGTCAAGCGGCCTCTTCATTCCCTCCTTACTGATTGGAGCCGCATGGGGTAGATTAATTGGGTCGGCCCTTTCGAGGATTTGCCCAGATTGTGTAAGGAAATTATAAAAACTGAAAGTACAGAATGTTCCATAGGAAATTGCTGAAACTACTAATCAGCTGTCATTTTTTAATGCATGCAGTTATTGAGAAAACAAAAATTGTGTTGAGAAGAGCAAAGTCTACAGTTTTTTATGGATATAAATAAGGTTTGTATACCAGTTTATTTTATTGGAAAAAAGTAATAAAAAAGGTGCTAATAATCACATATGTAAACTAATGATAAATATTTTCGAAGTGTACACTATTTGAATTTGTACAAAATTCTATTCTTTTACGAAAACTCGTAAAAACTTTTTCTAACATGTCATGTTTAATGTTATTGACGATACTTTTATAGCTGCTATTAAATCTAGCGCTGTTGAAAATATTATTAGTCTATGTGATTTTATGTGATTATTAGCACTTTTTTCATTACTTTTTATCAATAAAATAAACTGGTATACAAACATTTTTATTTATATCCATTAAAAACTGCAGACTTTCCTCTTCCCAACACAATTTTCGTTTTCTCAATAACTGCATGCATTAAAAAATGACAGCTGATCAGTTTCAGTATTTTTCTATCGGACGCTCTGTAAATTAAATTAAATTAAATACTATTAAATATTATACATGATTTCATTTTTCATAGGAAGTATTGGATCCTGGCAAATACGCTTTATTAGGCGCTGCTGCACAATTAGGAGGGGTAGTCAGAATGACGATAAGTTTAACTGCAATCTTGATAGAAGCGACCCAAGGAATTTATTTCGGTTTACCAGTCATAATAGTTCTCATAATGGCTAAATGGGTCGGCGATTTCTTTAATGAGGCAGGTATTAAGTATATTGCATGTATATTACATAGTTAGATACACATATTTTTTAAATAATAAAACATTTACAATTATATTTAAATCTCATTATTTATTACTTTTTTGCGCTGAAGATGGCTAAAAGAAGCGAAACGTACGCGTTAAAATTAAAATTTTATTTTCTTTATTATTATTTTTCATTTGATTATTAAAGTATATTATCTTAATATTTGTTAATAATTTTACGCCTTATGTACCGGGCTGATCCTATCACGTCTATTATTATATTTTCATTTAAAATATTTACTTTTTTTTAGGGAATTTATGATATTCATACTCGGATGGCTGGGATTCCGTTACTTCCATGGGAATCGCCACCACTGTCAAATAATATTTATGCAAGTGAGATAATGAGTCATCCAGTAGTCGCTTTAAAGACTGTCGAAAATGTGGGACATATTGTTGAACTTTTAAAATGCGTTACGTTCAATGGATTTCCTGTCGTTGATCCACCAAGTAGCGATCAAGTAATATTTGGCATTTTTTTTAAGTATCACAGCATGTTAACATTCTTACAATTCAACTGTATAATCTTTTCAGGCTGAGATAAATTCTTATGGTCGATTTCGAGGTCTGATATTGCGTTCCCAGTTAATAGTACTTCTAAAAAATAAAGTATTTAATGAATACGCGGAATTTTGGGAGAAACCTTTAAGCACAAAAATGTTTAGGAATGAGTATCCTAGATATCCGACCATCGAGCAAGTTGCCATTACTGATGAAGAAAAAACTTATACGATAGACTTGAGACATTTCATGAATCCTTCTCCTTATACGATACAACATGTTAGTATTTTTTAAGATATTATAAGATACTTATACAATGCATGTAAAATAATGTGAATTTTTATTTGTAGTCCGCAACACTGCCAAGAACATTTAGACTCTTTAGAGCATTAGGATTACGTCATGTACCAGTAGTAAATGATACAAATGAGGTAAAATTAGAATATTTAGTAAGATTTGTAAATTTATTTATATATTCTTCTCTCCTTATATAGGTAATTGGTATTATTACGCGAAAAGATGTTGCCAGGTTCAGGATATGGAAGCATCGAGGAAGAATGGGATTGGATGAACTTTTAATTACTAATAAAATTTAATTAAAAAATTTTCTTTTACATTTTGTGGGTTTCATCACATTTAAAATTCTATATACTTATTATAACTTTTAAATGCGTTTTATTGAGTTTTATAAATTAGAAACTATTTGCCAAAGATATATACATGTACAAATATGAAACAATCTATATTATTATTTAGGTTGCATTTTTAAATACTAAAATTTTAATTATTTACAAACAATTGCCATCCAAGCCATGACCAAAGTTTAAAAAAGAGATATACAGGAAGAATAACTAATAGTAAGAGAAAATAGTATTCGTATGATGATATATACATGTTAAGTAACTTTGATAATTTTTAATTCATAGACAATACTATTTCCCTCAAGTTGTCTTAATATTATAACTTTGTTATATCATTGTTCTAAGACATATAACCTGAAACAAAGTATTCTGTTGTACAATGCACAATATAATTATTTATTTTTTGTACACTTGTGTAATTTTCATTAAACCTCAACTATACTCGAATGATATAGTACCGCAATTGAATTTTACAAAATTATTCATAAATGCATGTCAAGACTGTGTAGAAACAGATCTGTATATTAAAGTAAAAACGATTAAATAAAAATAAATATATTTTTGATATAAATATATATCGTGAAAGAATATCAACATATTTTTTGGTTTGACATAAGCTATATATATATATATATATGTGTTCTAAAAAGATAAGATTAAAATTTAAGAAAATATTTCTCACACCTAAAGGATAAAAAAAAAATGTTATATAAACAAAGGTGCGGGAACACTTCAGGAGCTAGAACTTCTTTTCTGAGTATACAACATTAAGATTAAACGAGGTAGTGATTTTATTAGCCATACAAAAATCAGAAAAATATTGATCTTTAATTATTGTTACTTGTTTACATCTAGTAGTGGCTAAATAATAATATAAAAAACTAACTCTTGAAAATTCCTTTTGGAATGTCCAGTGTAACTTGATTTTTTTTTAAAGGATTTTTAACATTTGTAGTAAGCAGTCTGTCAATTTATACAGATATTTTAAATTTTTAATAAGACTTTTAATTCTAAGATATACAAATCTTTTAAATTTCCAACACAGATCTATTTCTTATAATTTTGACATCTGCAATCTATTAATTTTTATACTGATATTTTTAAACTTTTTAAAATCCTCTATGAAGAACTTAAAAGAGAAAATAGTAAATTATATATAAAAAAATTCAAAAATTGTTTATTTCTAACCTGTAGGTCTATTTTCTAAGAATTGACATAAATTTATAAAAATCATCTTTCATAACTTATTACACTTTAAAATACTTACCTTTACCAAGTTTTATCAGAATAGACGATCATGTCAAATAACATATTAATAAAAATAATACAATTTTTCGCCATTTCATCCCATTCTACGTTATCCTCAGATTCTCCCAATCATCTTCCCCTTATACAAAACATAAGACCGCCATAGGCCTGTTCCTTGGCGAAACAATGCAACGTCGTATATAGGATTTCAAGACGACGCGCGTCCCTTTTCTTTCCCTCTCGAAGCGGCTCCTCGGGTCAGGTCGGGCAAATAATTCGAGGGAGGCGCGGGCGGTCAATAGTTCGTATACGTATACACACCTGTCTGTCGTAAAGTCGCAGACGACGACAGTCGGGAAGGGGTTATATGGTCAATAAACGCGACCACGTCACACGCAGCCTATCGGCTGCGACGACCCCGCTTGGCCCCTTAAAGAGCAACCCGCCGAGCGAAAATCTTACATAGCGAGAGTGCGTCGGCCGATCTCGAGGGCCCCCTTCGCGCGCGTTTGTTATCGTCCTCGGAATCTTGGGAGGAAAAAGAATCTTTCCTGCGAATTTCTCGGCCAGGGTGAGTTGATTGTGCGTCTCGTCGAACTAAGAGTTAACCAGTTAAACCAGAAAAGGAACAAGAAAAGAAGGAGATTGTGCGTCTCGAGCGGATCGGCTGAGCCGGAACGCCATCCGCCATTGTTATCAGTGACGCGCGCGGGTGGGCGGGGCGAGCGGCAAGTGGGCGGGGCTTAGCGCACCGCGCATGCGCAGCCTGTGCGACGCGCAGCGTCTTCTTTTCGGCCGGAGGACTCAGCGACACGTATCTTGTTGGAGCGTCCGACCATGTGCGCATAATCGTCGCTATATACTCTCCGAACATCAGAGTCTGTGTTCCTATCTTTCTCTCTCTCTCGCATCGTCTTTTTTCTACATCGGAAATTCGGTGGTTTTTGTATTGCACTGATAGCACGATAATATCTTCCTCCGGCTTTGCAATTATGCAGATTTGTTTTGGTAGGAAAAACACTTTTGTTTAAACTCTGTTTTTTTTGGACACTGTTTTAGTATCCTTTACTCCGACTCTCTTGCGAAAAAGATTGGTTAGAATTCTCACTCGCGAGCACATTTTTATTAACTATCTTTCTGTCGTGTCATCAAGAGACAACGGTAATGTCTGGCGTCAAGTATTTTTTAATAGCCAGGCCGATCGTGTATCTATCTATGTATATGCGAGTGGCTCAGTTGCGAATTATATATTATCGGTTTTCAATTACGGCTGAATCAATCGAATTCTTAGCGGGCTTAATAAATAATTTGGGTCTTAATTATATAATAAAAATGTCCTTAGTTTTGTTCTGTGTATTTTGTTCTATAATTAAAGATGTAATATAAAGTTTTAATGTGACATTTCTGTAGTATTACTCTAACGCGATTGTCGTTTGTCTGTTTTAGATGGATTCCTGACTATTAAAGACTATTGAAAGACTATTGAAAGCTGTTATTAAATTTTTTTTACATATATGTGGTAAACATGGACTACAGCTGTAATTGAGCTGCCAAATAAGCCAAGCGGAGAGTGGAATCAACTGGATTTGGATGTCCACAGGCTCCATTTGGAGATTCAGAATGATAGAGAGCATAAAGGACATGTCCAATGCCACTTGTGTCAGTGCGTTGTGCTTAATGCCTGGAAAAGCTAATTTTATGGTAAGACAGTGAGGGAAATGCGATTATTATCTAATTATAGATGTCAGAAAGAGGAGAGGAACGTGCTGTTAGATTATATACTGCAGAGATAATGAAGAACGCCAGAGCTAAGGAGACTGAGGAGCAAGCGGCATTGAGGAGGATGCAAGAGGCTCAGCGAATGGCCAGGCATCGTGCCAAGAAAAAGCGTTGTCTGGATGAGAATCTCGCGAGGGAGATTTCTAAAATCGCGGAGCTGTCCAAGATGCCACCTCCGGATCCCGCCACGATAGCTCAAATGTCCGAGATAAATATGAATAAGATATCTGCGGAGCTGAAGCAAATGATGGAAAGGGGAAAAGTACCTGAACACATAGTTCAAATGGCTCAACTGGCGGAATTCAGCAAGATGAATTCTGAATTAAATAAGATGTCGCAGGACATGGCGAAGAGATACGAGATGGAGAAGATGGCAGAGTATGCCAAGACTACGGAGTATATGAAGATGCAGGAGATCGCCAAGATGAACGAGATGGTGAAGTTTTCTGAAATGGCCAAGTACAATGACATCAAGATCAACGAGATGGCGAAGATGAACGAGATGATGAAGATGTCGCAGATGGCGAAGATCAACGAGGTGCAGAGAATAAACGAACTGGCGAAGCTGAACGAGATGGTGAAGATGACGGAGATGGCCAAGTATACGAGTAACGACATAACGAAACTGAACGAGATCGCGCAGATCAGCGAGATGGCGAAGGAGATCGCGAAGATGAACGAGAAGACGAAGATGAGTGAGATGATGAAGATGCAGACGAGCATGCAGAACGACATCGCCAAGATGTCGCCGGAATACTCGAAGATGGCGAACGAGATGGCGAAGCTGACCGAGCTGGCTAAACTAAACGAGATCACGATCACGAAGCTGAACGATCCGCCGCAGGTGCTGAGCAAGATGAGCGAGATTCAGCCACCGCCTCCGCCACCACCCCCGCGTATCCCCGAACCTGTGATCACCGTGCCAAATCCCAGGAATCTGCAGAACGTGCAGACCGTACAAGTGGCGCAGGCCAGCCCGTCCAGCATGATCAACTTCCCGAGCGTGCCGGGTCAGAACAATTACGGTAAACTGTTGATGATCATCGAGGAGCTCGGCAGGGACATCCGTCTGTCATACGCGGGCAGTCGCAGCGCCGCCGAGAGGCTGAAGAACGGCATTCAGCAAGCCAGGGTCGCCGTGCGGGACTGCCTGATGGAGACGCAACATAACGCGCAACAATGATTCGTCGCCGAGCTAGCTAGCGATTAGAGGAGTACTTCTTTGTTTATGCGACATAAGTATAGGATCACTATACTTTTCCTTAGCACTCTATCGTGTTAGGGCTCCAAGATGGGGCGCCTTCATTTTGTGCTCGATTTGTATACAGGGTGTCCCATAGGAAAATGCTAAAACTAATCAGTTGTCATTTTTTAATGTATCCAGTTATTGAGAAAACGAAAATTGTGTTGAAAAAAGGAAAGTCAGCATTTTTTCATGGATATAAATAAAATGTTTGTATATCAGTTTATTTTGTTGATAAAAAGTAATGAAAAAAGTACTAATAAGGATCATCAATAACATTAAAATGACATTTTAGAAAAAGTTTTTACAAGGTTTTGTAAAAGAACAGAATTTTGTACAAATTCATATGGTAAGCACTTTGAGAATTTTTCTCATTAGTTTACATATGTAATTAGCTGTATTAGCACTTTTCATTGCTTTTTATCAATAAAATACACCGGTATACAAACATTTTATTTATATTTATTGAAAACTGTAGATTTTCCTCTTTTCAACACAATTTTTGTTTTCTCAAATGACGGCTGATTAGTTTCAGCATTTTCGGATGGAACATTCTGTACATACTGTGCGCTATTGAGACAAGTGTGTAACTGGTATAACTTTCTCTCTACTTTTTTTAAGTTGCAATTTTAATATATAGAAAGAACTTGAAACAGAGTATCAATTTGTATACTCTGTTTAGTGAATATTAAGAGTGAATATTAAGATAGATAGCTAGAGAGGGAAACAGAGAAAGAGAAAATCTTGGTTTATATTTTATATTTATAAATGCAAAGAGACAATTACACTATCATTTTTTTGTTAAAATCATCGGGTGTGAGTACATTGCAAATCTTCAGTATACGTTTTAAGTGAGCAAAGGAAAGAAATATAAGGAAAAGCTTTTCAAACAACATGTACCTAATGGAAAGTATAATCCCATAAATATATTCCATAAATATATCGTTAAATAAATAAAAGTTTTGTACACAATGCAGTGCTCTATTTTTCTTCTTTTAAAACTCATCATCACTTAGTTTTTATGTAATTCTGTAAGCTTTTGAGAAATATAAAAAAAATAATTGTCTTTTATTTCACACGTTTCTATGTATATTATTAAAAAAAAGTATTACATATAAGTGTGTAGAAATATATATATATATATATATATATAAATTTTATAAGCATTGATTTTTTTCGAAATAAAACAGGCTTTACAAGAAAACAAATACAGTAAAATGCAATTTGTTATCGAACAGAGAATTTTTAAAATCCTGAAAATTTTTTTATTTGATAAATCGTGTTATGTGTATCTTTTGCTGAAAAATCCCAAGAAAAACGGAAAGGGAATCATTTGCTGCCATTTTGGATAGGAGTATTCATCAATTGATTTTATCATTAAAAAAAGGGTTATTATTGACAGTTATTGATGATTATTGATTGATAGAAAATTATTGGAAAAAACACAAATATACGTAATATGATGCGATTGGCGGTTAAATAGGGAATTTTGAAAGTCCCGAAAATCTTTATATTCTATAACCAGAGAGAAAGATGAGAGCGGCCAGGCCGGCGTTTTGGCTGTTACCGTTTTTACGGGACTGCTTGAAGCGCCCCTCGCACCCGTTTTTAATATCGGAACTAACTGCACACCCATTTTCTGGCAGGGTCGATAAAGTTTGTATTTGGTGCGAGTCCGTGCTACGCCCATAATTTTCGTGTTAACACAGTATCACGTATTCATTCTGTATATGTGCGATCTTTTATCTTTATTTATATATATATATATATATATGTGTATTTATATAATTTGTATAAAAACTAAAATATAATTATTAAAATATATATATATATGTATATGTGTAATGAAATATATAAATCTTATTTTAATTAAAATAAAAAGAACGATTAATTGTTCGACCACCTGGATTTTGGAATGTAATTTTTAATATATATTATATTATATTTAATATTTATCGCCGCTTCTATTAATATGAAGTGCAATGTCAACGTGCAATAATGTACAATTATTTAAAGTTTCCATGCCTAATGTATCATGCCGGTATAAAAGAACGTCAAGTAGCATGCGTAGCCGAGCAACTAAGATGACGAGCTGAAATCGTGGACATTTCAAGTTCAAACCCCTGCCTTTTTCAGATTTTTTTTTCACTTTTTTCAAATAAGTTATTATGTGTATAAATGTGTAATAATCAATATATCATTATTTGATAATTTTTTTTGTAATGGAACAAAATAAATTATTTTTTAATTCTGCAAGGAATTTAATTATTAATGCAAACGCCCACACACATAATTTAGATATTCAATTTTTTTAGTTCAAATGTTTCTTGCAATCTGTATACGACAATCAGTCCACTCGCTGTGCCACAGATTGCATCGCATAATACGCTCAGAGTTATAATACGATAGAGATCGCTTTACGCTGTTTTTCCTTGAAATAAATAAATTTTACGTGTTGTGTACGCGTGTTTAGTATATTTGTTTCTTTCATATTAATTTTAACTATAATTAGTTTTTTAATTAAGATTATTTTAGTGTTAGTTGTTTATTTGTTAGTGTCCTGTTTTCTTTAATTTCGCATTTTTTAATTTCTTTTTTTTTTGGTGTTGGTGCTAATTATTATTTTTATTTTACAATGTCGAGTAAACACCGGTTTTACGATAAATGTGTGTATTTAAATTGCACAAATATTAGGACAAAAGATGGAAAACGTTTATTTCGATTTCCATTACAAACGGGTGCGAGACATGATTTATGGTTACGCAATAGTGGTGAGTTTATAAAATTGATTTACTTATTTATATCAATATATAATATATATTGATATGATATATGAAACAAATATATATATATATTCTTTGTTTTTTTTAATAAAATATGTCAGATATTATGTATGTTTACGTATGGATTACGTTGAAGTGTTTCTTTGCCGCGTTTTTCTGATCTCGCCGAACGGTTCGCGAATCCTGTGCGAATAAAAAACGATGCGCGTGTGTGTGTGCGTGCGATTGTGATGATCAGTTTCAGTTCGTCTTCAACGCTTGACGAGAGAAGAGGTCCCGAACTGCTGTAAGTTTATAAAAACATATTTTTGTATAACACATTAGAACGATTTTATATTATTTTTTTTGTCTAGAAAACGTTATATTAATAACCGTTATGAAAACGATCTTGACGACGGCGACGATGCCGGTGACGACCGTCGTCGAGATCGTTTTCATAACGGTTATTAATATAACGTTTTCTAGACAAAAAAAATAATATAAAATCGTTCTAATGTGTTATACAAAAATATGTTTTTATAAACTTACAGCAGTTCGGGACCTCTTCTCTCGTCAAGCGTTGAAGACGAACTGAAACTGATCATCACAATCGCACGCACACACACACGCGCATCGTTTTTTATTCGCACAGGATTCGCGAACCGTTCGGCGAGATCAGAAAAACGCGGCAAAGAAACACTTCAACGTAATCCATACGTAAACATACATAATATCTGACATATTTTATTAAAAAAAACAAAGAATATATATATATATTTGTTTCATATATCATATCAATATATATTATATATTGATATAAATAAGTAAATCAATTTTATAAACTCACCACTATTGCGTAACCATAAATCATGTCTCGCACCCGTTTGTAATGGAAATCGAAATAAACGTTTTCCATCTTTTGTCCTAATATTTGTGCAATTTAAATACACACATTTATCGTAAAACCGGTGTTTACTCGACATTGTAAAATAAAAATAATAATTAGCACCAACACCAAAAAAAAAGAAAATAAAAAATGCGAAATTAAAGAAAACAGGACACTAACAAATAAACAACTAACACTAAAATAATCTTAATTAAAAAACTAATTATAGTTAAAATTAATATGAAAGAAACAAATATACTAAACACGCGTACACAACACGTAAAATTTATTTATTTCAAGGAAAAACAGCGTAAAGCGATCTCTATCGTATTATAACTCTGAGCGTATTATGCGATGCAATCTGTGGCACAGCGAGTGGACTGATTGTCGTATACAATTGCAAGAAACATTTGAACTAAAAAAAATTGAATATCTAAATTATGTGTGTGGGCGTTTGCATTAATAATTAAATTCCTTGCAGAATTAAAAAATAATTTATTTTGTTCCATTACAAAAAAAATTATCAAATAATGATATATTGATTATTACACATTTATACACATAATAACTTATTTGAAAAAAGTGAAAAAAAAATCTGAAAAAGGCAGGGGTTTGAACTTGAAATGTCCACGATTTCAGCTCGTCATCTTAGTTGCTCGGCTACGCATGCTACTTGACGTTCTTTTATACCGGCATGATACATTAGGCATGGAAACTTTAAATAATTGTACATTATTGCACGTTGACATTGCACTTCATATTAATAGAAGCGGCGATAAATATTAAATATAATATAATATATATTAAAAATTACATTCCAAAATCCAGGTGGTCGAACAATTAATCGTTCTTTTTATTTTAATTAAAATAAGATTTATATATTTCATTACACATATACATATATATATATATTTTAATAATTATATTTTAGTTTTTATACAAATTATATAAATACACATATATATATATATATATATAAATAAAGATAAAAGATCGCACATATACAGAATGAATACGTGATACTGTGTTAACACGAAAATTATGGGCGTAGCACGGACTCGCACCAAATACAAACTTTATCGACCCTGCCAGAAAATGGGTGTGCAGTTAGTTCCGATATTAAAAACGGGTGCGAGGGGCGCTTCAAGCAGTCCCGTAAAAACGGTAACAGCCAAAACGCCGGCCTGGCCACTCTCATCTTTCTCTCTGCTATAACCAATGTGTCATTTTTTTTCTAATGTGTTTCTTGTTAGAAAATTCCCTATATCTTCATGAAAAATTCCTACATTTGACATTTTGAGACCACTATTTTATGCTGCTAACCACGTTCATACACAACTAGTATATTTATCAATTTTTACAATCATCAGCTACTCATCGTGTTTCGAACAATACGGCAAAAGGATTATTTAAGGTTCGTAGAACACACCAATATAAAATTTAATAAAAAAACAATTTTCCTTATGAAAAACTGATATAAAAATATAAAGAACCAGTAAAGGCTAATAAGCTGGTAAGAACCGAATTTGTACTTATATATTAGTTTTTTCGATTTTATTATTTTAAAATAATTCTTAATCTTAACATTTAATATTTAGTCTTCGTATTTTCTCCATTGTGCACAGAGGGCCTTAGCTAAGTTTTGCGATTCACTGACTTATTGCTTAAAAAAAAAAAAAAATGGAAATGAAATTTCTGGTCAGTAGTGAATTCCAAACTTCAGATTTCATAGATTATCTCACTCGATTGTTTCTTACAAGGTATATTAAAATAAGAACAACATGCACAAAAGAGAGATGGTGAAGCAGCGCAAAAACGTAGGGGTTACTGCGAAGATCATGGAACCGGTACCTAATTCAACACCTGCGCAGCAGACTGTGCCTTCTGTTCCTGCTCAATCAAAGTATATAAAATTATTGCGCGTCATAGAACAATTGGGTCGCGATCTCAAGCCCTTTTACACAGGCAGTAAGCTTTGCAAGACGATGCCTAAGGTTGAACGTAATCTGATAAAAGCGTGTCGTCTGATCAAACAATGTCGAGTTGAAGCTACAAAGAGCTCTAAGAAAGCGTGCCAATAATATTACAGGTTTCTTATATTAAAATAATCATTGAACCAAATTTCCAAAACACTTAATATCCTAACAATTGTATATTACTCTCTTCCAGGATATACTTGATATTGTTATACATGAAAGGATATATTCTATTATTAAAACAGTATTTATATACTACCTCGAATTTTGACCAATTCAAAGTATTATAAGAAAAAGAATGACTTATTGTGTATAAGGCAATTACTTAGAATAATAAGAGAATTTTTATAATTGGATTTAACACTGTAAGGATATTTTATAAGAAGGATATTTTTACTTCTCTTGTCATATGAGTGAAATATTAAGTAGTAATTTTTTTCTGTATTAAACAAATATGTTGTAATTAACACTGCCAAAGAACATATAACGTAACATTATTTTTGTCTACTGTAAACTTATTGTTAGTTTGTTATGTCATATTTACGATTTTTTAGAGAAATTGCTTTCTTATTTTATGATTTTTATTGATAATATTTATTTATTTACTAACTCGATTTTATCATTCTCAAAAGTCTATTAATAGGCTGCGTACACTCGATGAGTTAATTGATAATGTGTTCATAACACAATTGTGTCATAAAATATTGTATTGCCATATACTTAAAGCCTCATTAATATCAATAATTATAGTACAAATATAAACAAAATATTTACTAATTCTATTTACATAATAATTATGAATAATAACAATTTTTTATAAAACATTTTTTATAATTATCTGATAATTAGATATTATAGACTGTTGCATACGTTATAAACTCATATAATGTATAATTATAAATCTAAAGAGATAAGCGTAAGAGAATTTTTCCTCATATATGTAATGTTTAAGAATGGTACAAAACAATATGTGTTCCTATACTTAAATATTATATTATTTGTAAAATAAAGTTTTTTTTATTAAAAAAATTGCATTTTATAAATAAAAACACCCAGTATTATATTTCTTTCGGATACATTTGTATTGCAAATTTATATTCCAATATGAGATATATTTTTATTTATTTCTGTAACTTTATGTATATATACACTCCCTACAAATGTTCACTTTTCCTCAATCGTGTACAGATATATTTTTTTCTTATATACATATAAATATTATTTTTAAATATTTAGAAAATATTTTTCTTTGATCCATCAATTGTAATAAAAATAGATTTGCTAATTATATTTTTTGAATTTTATTATTTGAATTTTGCTTGACTTTATGTATACCTAGGTGAGGTATTATAAATTATTATAATTATGAGAGAGAATTCACTAATGAAAAATAAAATACCCAGAGATTATACCAATAAAATTAAACTTTATTATAAATTTTTTATATAATTGTTTACAACTTTGTACACTTTTATTTATATAATATAAAAAACTGAATTAATTACCTAGGTAGGAAGTATGTCATTTTGACATCGATTGACATCATTAAATGTCAAAATGACGTCAGTTTGCTACTCGGGTATAGATAAAATATAGCAGTTGACGATATGACAATAAGTTTAATAAAAGATGTCTGCGATTCCTTTTGTTTCAGACACAACTTTTTCACAAAAATGGCAATGGAGGAAGTTTTTTACACTTTGGACGAGTTCGATACAGAATTCCCAGCAGATTCCGTCGAGTGGTGTCCCACAGAACCATTTCGAGATATATTAGTATGTGGAACGTACAAATTAATTGAGAGGAAAGAAGGTTCAAAAGAAGAGGATGCGGAAGAAAATGCAAAGGAGGAAAAATGTAAACGGACAGGACGAATTTACTTATTTCGGGTGGCAGACGGTGGAAAACTACAAATATTGCAACGAATAGACACTTCAGGTGTCTTAGATATGAAGTGGACCCATACTGAAGATAATCGAATATTGCTTGCCGTTGTCGACTCCAACGGCTACTTGCGAGTTTACGAGCTGAAAGAGAAGGAGAGCGAAACAAAATTGCAATTAATTGCCGAAGAAAGAATCGGCGACAATGACGATGACGTTATAGCATTGTCGTTGGATTGGTCCACTGGAGGATGCATCTCTTGCGCTTCTCATTCGAATCCGCGTATCGCTGTGAGCGATAGTCAAGGACGAATATCTCATTTTGCATGGCGCGAAAATAATCAACTGATAAAAGATTTTACGTTACCCGCACACGAGTTCCAGGCGTGGATCGTCGCCTTTGATTATTGCAACGATAATATTTTTTATTCTGGTATAGTAATACGCACGATATATAATATTATAGCTTTTTTGAATAAAACACGTTATTTTGACATCGAATGATCATTGGATGTCATATAGATATCAAAATTATGTCAGTTTGACGGTTTGACGTCATTAAATATCAAAAAGACGTTATTTTGACATCTATCGACGTCATTCGATGTCAAAATGACGTACGAATGCTACCTGGGCGATTAATGACATGATTGACCCACAGCGTTTATTTTTGAGAGAAATGGCTGTGATTGGTCAATCACGTCATTAATGGATTCATGATTAGTGTTGGTTTTTGTAATTTTAAATTTTAGTGCTTATTTTATTCAAACTATGTTCATATTGTACATTGTACACCATGTTTTAAAGCACAAACTTCGGTTTATTTATTTATAACATTGGTTATATTATTGATTTGTGGCCCAGTGTAAATTACTGAAATAGAAATGGAAAAACATAAATGGTAAATTTGAGTAATTCGTTTTTGTATGAATTTAAATTAAGCCGCGGAAACGATTTGCAACATCAACGATGCATTTGGCAAAAAAAAAAAAAAAAAAAAAAAAAGACGTTAATGAATATACAGTGCAACGTTGGTTTAAAACATTTCAAATTATTAAATAGGTTCAATATTGCTCCATGGTTAACATACGACCACAAATAAAAAAAAGTTATCTGTCTCAGCTAGCATATTCACCGGATATTTTGCCAACTAACACTTATTTAAATAATTTGATATAGCTTCCTAGGTAGTAAACTGACGTATATATATATATATATATATATATATATATATGAATATGAATATGAATATACATATAGGAGTTTGTTTTTCTCAATATACAGGGTGTTCCATTTTAAATAATCCACGCAAATATCGAAAAATATTAGAGATATGAAAAAATGTTTCGAACAAAAGTTGTTTGACTTCGAGGGAGACATAAAATGGTATTATTGGTTTGACCTTGGATAGTCATTTGTAGATCACATGAATATTATGTTGAATTTTTTAAATGGAACCCCCTATTTTTTATTACATATTCTTGTAGCTTATCTCGAAAGCATTCCAAAACCCTATAATAAAGTATTTTTTCATGAGGTACTCTTTGAGTTATAAAGATTTGAAGCTAACAATTTTTTAACATAAAATATAAAATAGCTTGTAAAATGTAAAATATCTTGAAAATGTAAAATATTCCATTTTCGGTAATCATACCTTAATACTTTTTTGCACGGAATAATGTAACCAATTAATTGGTGTAAAAAATACACAGTTGCTTATAATAAAAAGAATGCAGCTGCATATTGAATATTACATTTTTTTTTAAACAATTATCTGTTTTTTTTATATCAATTGATTGATCTTATTATATTGTGCATAAAAGTGTTAAGGTATGAGTATCAAAAAATGAATAGTTTACAAGATATTTTACATTTTATGTCAACAAATTGTTAACTTTAAATCTTTATAATTCAAAGAGTACTCCATGAAAAAATACTTTATTATAGGAGTTTGAAGCTCTCGAGATAAGCTACAAGAATATGTAATAAAAAAATAGGGGGTTCCATTTAAAAAATTTAACGTGACTTTCATGTGACCTATAAACGAATATCCAAGGTCAAACCAATGACACCATTTTATGTGCCCCTTGAAGTCAAATAACCTTTCTCTTTTATTGAAAACATTTTTCGTATCTCTAATATTTTTCGAGATATTTGCGTAGATCATTTAAATTGGGACACCTTGTACATATCTCGAAAACTTATTTTATATAAAATCCTCATAAAAGCACATCTCTATATTTAATCATACGTTAATAAAATTTTTAAAAGATAATTTTTTTATAAATTAAAAATATATTTTTAAAAATTAAGTTTTCAAAATTAATGTGATTAAATAGAGATATTTTCTACCATATAAACTTTTATACAAAACATTTTTTATTTTTCTTGAATATTTTTCGGGACATGTCGAGAAAAACAAAAATCGCTCTACAAATGAGAAATAGAGTTTCATTCTTTAAAATCGTTTTTGGGCCACAACTAAAAATTTTTAAATATAAATACTCCCACTTTATAAAGTTTTATTAAAATTAAAATTTTCGTTCGTGAAATTTTCTTGTAAAGTTTTTATATTGAATTTTAATTCGTCTTAAGGAGGGAACCTGATTTAGGAGGCTGAAAAATATACATAATTTTTAGAATTTTTTTCAGCTAAAATAAAACCAATTAATTTCAAATTTTAGGCACATTTTACTATACAATTAAATTATGGAAAATAATTTTTCTATTAAAAAATATTGAAGTTTTATTTAAAAAAATAAAGCTATATTGATAGCACCCATTTTTCACTGTGTACCATCTAGCGATCGTAATTTTTGTCTGAAACAAAAAATCAATTTATTTTTTTAATATTATATTATTACCTTTTATTTAAACTAAAAAAATGAAAAGAAAAGCAAAAATTGAAATTTTTTATAACTTTTAAAAAAAGTTACAATTTTCACGAAAAAATTGCGACTTTTCTTTACAAAAAAAATAATCTAATTTAACTTTTCTTTTAATTGTTTTAGTTTAAATAGAAGATAATAATATAACATTAAAGAAATGAATTAGTTTTTTGTTTCAGACAAAAATTACGATCGCTAGATTATACACAATGAAAAATGGACGCTATATCAATATAGAGCTTTATTTTTTATAATAATAATAAATAATTTTATAATAATAAAACTTTAATATTTTTTAATAAAAATATTATTTTACATAATTTAAATGTATAATAAAATATGTGCCTAAAATTTGGAATTGATTGGTTTTATTTTAGCTGAGAAAAAAATTCTAAAAATTATGTATTTTTCAGCCTTTTATAAACTAGGTTTCCCTCTTAATTGAAGCTTAATTAGATCGTAAATTTTTAAAATAATATTTATATATCTAAAGAAAAATTGCCAGGGTAGATTTTTTGACAGACGAACGTATTTTAAATTTCAGGAGGTGATGATAACAAGTTTCTAACTTTCGACACTAGGACAGGATCTGTTCCTGTATTATGCAATAGAAAGCACACTTCCGGTGTTACCAGCATTCGCAGCAACGCAATTAAACCATTTCTACTCGCAACTGGAAGGTAAAAGATTTTCGCGATTATTGCACTTATTTTTCCCGAGAATTAAAAATTTATATATTTTATATTTATATATTTTCATAAAGTTGCATTTATTTTATAATAAATTTACTTTTGTATCACCGCGGTTTCAATAAACCGGTACCGAAGTATAAAAGATTTTTGATGAAGCTATATATTCATCATTATTCTGCGTTTTTCAACGTTCAAAAATTTTTTTCTTTATAGTATTATAAAGAACTGTATTATTGTTATAATTATTTTTTTATACAGGGTGTCCCATAGAAAATTGCTAAAATTAATCAGCTGTCATTTTTTATGCAGTTATTAAAAAAACAAAAATTGTGTTGAAAAGAGAAAAATCTGCAGTTATTAATAGATATAAATAAAATGTATGTATACCCGTTTATTTTATTGATAAAAAGTAATGAAAAAAGTGCTAATAATCACATAAAGTCACATAAACTAATGGTAAATATTTTCAACAGTACTAGATTTAATAGCAGCTATTAAAAGGATCGCTAATAACATTAAAAATGACATGTTAGAAAAAACTTTTACGAGTTTTCGTAAAAGAACAAAATTTTGTACAAATTCAAATATGGTGCGCACTTCGAAAATATTTATATCATTAGTTTACATATATGTGATTATTGGCACTTTTTTATTACTTGTTTTTAATAAACTAGTATACACACATTTTATTTATATCCATTAAAAACTGTAAACTTTCCTCTTTTCAACACAATTTTTATTTTCTCAATATAACTGCATGCATTAAAATAATGACAGCTGATTAGTTTCAGCAATTTTCTAGGAGACAATCTGTAAAAGTACATTGAAAATTTCAGTTATGATGAGATTTTAAGATTGTGGGACAAGAGAAACTTGAAACAACCAACGTCCGAAACTAATCTCAATGGTGGAATTTGGCGTTTGAAATGGGATCCGTTTGCGCATCAATACTTATTTGCCGCGTGTATGTATGAGGGTTTTAAGATTGTTAATTGTGATAATGACGTATCTACAATTGGGTATTACAATAAGCATTGCGGTTTAGCATATGGTTGCGATTGGTCATTATTGAAAAGGGAGGATGTTTCGCATTTAAAAATATCTAATGGAGAGACTTTAGTAAGTACTTGTTCCTACCAAGATTGTGCTCTTAAATTATCCACTCTTAATTTCAAAATTTATGATCTCGAGTCATGAAGCGGATTAAAAACAAAGTTTTTATTTTTTTTAAGCTTTGTAAAATGTATATATATATATATATATATATATATATATATATATATATATATATATAATTTATTATGCGATGTGCAAGAAAAAATAGCAGAAAATCTATAACGCATATATAACTATTTATATATTTGCGCAAAAATCAAAATTATGTGCAAAAAAAGAAAATAGTTGGATATTTCTGCCTAATATACATATATTCGAATACTTTATCTTTAAAGCATTCGAATATATGTATATTAGGCAGAAATATCCAACTATTTTCTTTTTTTGCACATAATTTTGATTTTTGCGCAAATATATAAATAGTTATATATGCGTTATAGATTTTCTGCTATTTTTTCTTGCACATCGCATAATAAAGCATATAAAATAGGCTAAAAATAAAATAATTTTCGAGATTTAAAATTTTCTCCATTTGATATAGACAATTGTGTTTACATGTATTTTCTTGTTGAAAAGCTCCCAAGTATACCTAAATCTTAAAAAAAAGATAAGATATAGCGAGAAATACAAGTGAAGAATATGATTCGATCCAAATAAGATAAAATGAATTATTCGTCGCTATCTTGGATAGGAATACTCTTTGATTGGTTATTACTGGAAAACATTATTGGAAGCTTTCCAATAAGAAAACATAAATATACACAATGTGATACAATGGGTTACCGATAAATAAAGAATTTTTGAAGTCCCGACAATTTTTCTATTTGATATAATCAATAGTGTGATATTACGTGTATTCCTTATAGAAATATAGCCAATTAATCATTTAATTATTTCGAGTACTTAAAATATAGTGATACAGTAATTTAAGTACTCGAAATAAGTGATAAATTGGCGTTACGTTATGTAAACTAATATGGTAAATATTTTCAAAGTGCGCATTTGAATTTATACAAAATTATGTTCTTTTACGAAAATTTGTAAAAACTTTTTCTAACACACACACACACACACACACACATATGTTATTTTTAATATATTGATCCTTTTAATAGCTGCTATTAAATCTGGCACTCTTGAAAATATTTATCAGAGTTTATGTGATTTTGTGATTATTAGCACTTTTTCATTACTTTTTATCAATAAAATAAAATAGTATACAAACATTTTATTTATATCCATTAAAACTACAGACTTTTATCTTTTAAACATAATTTTTGTTTTCTCAATAACTGCATGTATTAAAAAATAACAGCTGATTATAGTTTAGCATTTTCTTATGACATACCCTGTATAAGTCGGAAAAAACTTTTCTTCGAAAACATTTTTCTCTTTTTAAGGGTGCAGTAGTGTCCCATGGACTAAATTTTCCGCGTAACGCGTATCGCGTAACCAATCGGAGCTGGTCCGCATTTTCTGTTACGGCTGTTTTAAAAAGTCGCGTATTTACGCAAGTTTATGCGGAATTGAATGTTCTTAATGCACATGGTACATAAAACGGCAGCAGCGTATCGTGATTAACCAATAATAATTTTCTATTCTGTTAAAATATTCCAATAGAAATGATGAATTGATTGCATGGTTACGCGAGTATTTGTCACGCAAATTTGTGTCTCATATGTGAACGATGGAGATTTAAATATCACGTAAATGTATTAAAATATATTATATTAAATGTTCTATAATTTAACTACATAAAATAAAGCATAATCTAAAATGGATTCGGAGTTATTGATATCTATTATTGCTCTACAAAAGCGAAGAATAAATAAAGCAGATCGACTATCAATTATAAAATTTAAAAAGTTAGTTACCTTTTTATCTTTATTGTTAAAAAAACGATAAAAAAAATAAAACAAAAATATATTGGGTTCATCCGAAAAATATAAAAGAGCAAATGACACAGCTGTTTACATATTTTTGTAGAAAATTCTAAACTAAAAATAATATCCAACAATAACTTACAGATTTCTCCATGTTGCCTATGCTACGTTTTCAGTACGTTCACACACAAAAGTCGCGTAAACTTGCGTAAATACGCGACTATTTAAAACAGCCGTAACAGAAAATGCGGAACGGCTCTGATTGGTTACGCGACACGCGTTAAGCGGGGAACACACACTTTTGCATAAGCATATGCATAAGAAATTCGATTGGTTGAATTTCTTATGCATACGTTTATAGACCAATCAAGATTATTATGCTTACGCTTATGCGTTTATGCAAAAGTGTGTGCTCTCCGCTTTACACGGAAAAGATCAGTCCATCTTCTTCTTCTTCTTCTTTTTTGCAAATATTAGTCCATGGGACTGCACCCTAAGGCTTGGTCTACAATAGAGTCGTAATTCATAAGAAATTGCCCAATCACAGATGATTATTTTTGATATAATTAACTATGATTTGTCAATTTCTTACGAATTACGACTCTATTGTAGACCAGACCTAAGTAAAAATTGAAGCGAGTGAGTTTATTGGGTTTAAAAATAAATAAAATTATAAATTTTTTGGTAAATTCGCTTATTTTCGTAATTTTTACTTAGTTTGCCTATCTTTCATTATTATATGTTTCGTGGTCGTTTCGCGAATATAGTTTCGGCGACAAACACGAGATGGCGAATCGAACGTGGCGCGAGCTGCATTTCGCCGCGGACGGTTCGATAAAAATCAGTCGTCGCTCGACCGATTCGTTCGAGAGTTGTTTTGAGAGCGATTTTGACAGGTGTTTTGTCGAACAGTGCTTGTGTGTCTGCGTAGACGTTCGTGATTTCTCCGAAACGAGTCGCGAGCCGAAGAGTAAGGGTAAGTAGTAAATACCGTGAATTCCGTCGAAAGCTTCCTCGAGGAAGCTTTTGCAACGTTCCGTTTGCGCTTCCTCGCGAATTAGGACGCGTCAGGATCTCAGCTAGTAGTGCGCGGTCTCGCGCCAACAGTCTCGTCGCCACGGAATAATATGACCCAAAAGTGATTTGGCGCGTGTATCCTCACCTCGGAAGAGATCGACCGACCGGCCAAACCAAGGTTAGGGCGATTTCCCTTCATTTGTTTCTCTCGCCTTGGCTCGCGTCACGTCACGTCATGTCACGTCGCGTCATATCACGTCAAGCCCTTTTGCGGGCCCTTTCGCTCAGATAACCATCATTATCTGTGGCCTGGATATTTTTTAAATATGCTATTACGTAGTTTTTTATAAAAAGAATTTTTATAAAAAAAAATGTAAAAACAATTATTTTCTTTTTTTTTAAGTAACAAGGAAACTTCACGAATCGAAAATATTGTTTTTGAAGAAATTTTCTACACATATATAGAGGAGATAATGATGAATTTAGAAATTTTCAATTACAGTCCAAAAACTGAAACCGCCCTTCATATATAGAACGGCTTTTTGCTTTTCTCGATATATCTCAAAGTATTCGAGATATTAAAAAATATTTTATACAACAGTTTTGTGATGTAAGAAAAATAATTTTCTTCGGATTAAAAAAAATTTTTTTCTCAAAAATTTATTTCTTCGAATATTAATGTGGTTAAATAGAGGTATTTTGATCATGAAATGTTCGAATAAAACATTTTTTAATATCTCGAATACGTTTCGATATATCGAGAAAAGCAAAAAACTACCTTACATATATGAGGGGCGATCTCGTATCTTACAATCATTTTTGGACCACAATTGAAAATTTCCAAATTTATTTATTCTTTTCCCCGCCCCCACACACATGATTGTAAAGTTTCATCGAAATCAGAATTTTCCGGTTTACAAGGTTCCCTTGTTAATAATAAAAAAACTTAATAAAAATACACGAATATTTTATGAGCGTTGATAGTATTTTCATAATACGAATTTTCCATCTTTGTGTGAGAATATAATCTTAAGGGCCGATTTTTTTAACTTCTCGGTAAGTTTATCTGACAGCATATTTTTGTCTCTTTTCAGATGTTCTAAAAAAAAGAGACAAAAATATGCTATTTGTCGGGTAAAACTTACCAAGAGTTGGAACAACCAGCCCTAAATGATAAATTTGCGTTATATTTTCAATAATTTTATTTGTAATTTTAATGTTCTTTTTTGTGTGCAACAAACTTGGCAGTTTTGTATTTTATAGATATAAAGAAAAGATTAATAAGAGTCAAACGCGAGGTAAAGATTCGAGTAAAAAACTTAAATACCTCTAGGCACTGTTTATTAGTTTAAAATTAATTATATTTTTTTAAATTAATTTTTGGAAGTTATTAATATTTTTAATGTTATTGAGGATTTGCTGTAAATTCAATTTTTGCACTCTAATAAAAAATTTTGAGCATCATTATAACGATAATAACATTTGTTTGGAAAGATCGAGCAAAAAAATCTTATAATCCAACACATCATCTAAAAAATTTATTCTATTCTATAAAAACATGAGTCTTTTTTTAACATATATAAGATAGGCAATAAGAGCCAAATCGCGGAACAGTGCGTTATTCTAAACGAAACTAAATTTTTTCGTTAGAATTAAATACCTGTGCACAAGGCACCAAATTTTTACTTGGACACGGCCAAGATATAAAATTGGAATAATCTCTACAAGAGATTTTTAATTCCATGTATCCCCTATTCCCCCTAAAGAAATAAAGTGCGAGAGAAAAATATAGATCCGAAAGTCGCAGAATCGGGAATCGAACCCGAGACCTTTCGCTTGCCGGGCGACTGCTCTTCCAACTGAGCTATTCAGATCCTTTCGATTCTATACTTTTCTCTGTTATATATATTAATGTTGGTAAATAAACGCCTTTAAGCCAGCGTGTATAAATTAAGAGTTTAACTAACTTCTTTAGGGGGAATAGGGGATACATGGAATTAAAAATCTCTTGTAGAGATTATTCCAATTTTATATCTTGGCCGTGTCCAAGTAAAAATTTGGTGCCTTGTGCACAGGTATTTAATTCTAACGAAAAAATTTAGTTTCGTTTAGAATAACGCACTGTTCCGCGATTTGGCTCTTATTGCCTATCTTATATATGTTAAATTTATATTTATATATTACAGAGCCTAGTTAAACTCTTAATTTATACACGCTGGCTTAAAGGCGTTTATTTACCAACATTAATATATATAACAGAGAAAAGTATAGAATCGAAAGGATCTGAATAGCTCAGTTGGAAGAGCAGTCGCCCGGCAAGCGAAAGGTCTCGGGTTCGATTCCCGATTCTGCGACTTTCGGATCTATATTTTTCTCTCGCACTTTATTTCTTTAGGGGGAATAGGGGATACATGGAATTAAAAATCTCTTGTAGAGATTATTCCAATTTTATATCTTGGCCGTGTCCAAGTAAAAATTTGGTGCCTTGTGCACAGGTATTTAATTCTAACGAAAAAATTTAGTTTCGTTTAGAATAACGCACTGTTCCGCGATTTGGCTCTTATTGCCTATCTTATATATGTTAAATTTATATTTATATATTACAGAGCCTAGTTAAACTCTTAATGAGTCTTTTATTATAAAAGCAAAGAACCGCAGCAGAAAATTAGTGCCGAAATAATTAATTTATTATAAAAATAGAGACAAATGTTTCATTCTATTTTAGATCATCTTTAGTGCACAATTAATCATTAGTCTTTTAAATTCATAAATATTAGCGCAAATACGGAATCATAAACTTAAAATCTAGAATCTACAAGTCTTTTATACGAGTATAAGCGTGCGAATCAGTTCAGGGAGGGGAGGAAGGAAGGATTCCAATCTAGTGCCGTGAGATTGATTTCCGCTCGACTGCTGTGAGAGACAAAATGATTTTATTATCTCTCGTTACAGAGCGATCTTTCCTCTTTGATGATTAGCGCGCGAAACTGCTCCCTCGTCGATCACGATAGAGGGAAGTCGCGACACAGGGGCGTTGTCCTCTCATCATCGTTCGCACGTCGTCCCGGGTCCAGGAGGTATCTTTCCTTTTGGGGTACATTTTCAAGGAAAAAAAATCACATGCAAATATGCGTATATTTGCGTGCTAATCGAGCACCCTCCCATTTCTTTTGTTATGCTACACGTGATACAATTGCGTGAAAGCAATGGTAGTGCAGTGTATATATAAACACAAGTTTGTGAAAAACACGCATTTTGGATTTCTATAAAAAATAGGTGAATCCAGATGCTTGTTATATGCAATAACTTTCAAGAGCAGTTCCCAGATAGAACCATGTTCAAAATTGGTGCATAAGACATCATTAAGAAATCTTTAAGAAATTTTTATAAGAAATCTTATGATATGATATCCCAAAGACATTAAAGATTCCAAAAACATCTTAAAAATGTCTTATGCACCCATTTTGGACATAATGCTATCTGGGTTGTCTTTTAAAAATCGGTTACCATGATTGAAATAACTTACATTACACTGATCAACATTTTTTGATCTTTTTTTATGTCACAAAAGGAATGACAAGTCAGTTTGATAGGATTTTTTCTGTGATTACGAATCTGAAACTCAAAATGTTCCATCATGTCATGTACTTTTAGAAAAACGGTCAAAAAACTTGTTTTTGGCCCTTTTTGAACCTCTGTCACAAAAAAATACTTTATTTGGGCTTAAATTAAAGCTTGAACCTTAAACTTTAAAATTATGAAGCAAAAAACTGTGATAATTCTTTGAAGTCATGTAGCACAGATTTTTTATTAGACGCGATCCGTTTTGTGTTAGGGATTCAAAAATGCCAAAAACCGACTTTTTGACCTTTTCATCTTATTTTTCTCGAAAATATGATTAATAAGTGAACATTTTGGGTTTTATATTCGTCATCGACGGAAAAAATCCCATCGAATTGACCTGTTATTATTTTTGTGTGACAAATCTCTTGTCAGTGTTCGTAATATAGGAGTAGCTTTTAAAAGCTACTTTTGCTATTAAAAGTATCTCGCACTATTTTTGTATAAAATTATCTCGGTAAAATTAGCTGATTTTCTCATGTTGTAGCTTATGATCTGCTGAACAAAAATATATATAATAAATAGGCAAAGCTAAATAATGAACAGTTACTGATTTACAGCCAGTCAAACCACGAAACTTGGAGTTTATTTAACTGATAGTATAGTAATTGTCCATTTTCTAATTTTTAATTAGAATTTACTCATGTACCCATTCGATTTCGGTTAAATTTCTTCATATTTTATCTCATACTATGTCTGTGTCAAGTTTTATAACGATGTGGTTTTATACCACAAAATTTTCCCAGTTTGGTATACTCCTTTTACGTAGTATTAATGTGTGGAGGTCTTCCAGACAGAGATTTATCTTCAATTAGTGCCCTTTTAAACAAATAAATAATATAAATATAATAATTAACAAATAAATAATATAAAATAAATATAATAATTAATGCCATTTCAAACAAATATATAATATAAATATAATAATTATATTATATATTTACGCTTTTTTAAATATTTTTAAAAAATTTTGAAAATAATTTCTTTTAATTAAGCATCTGGCATATTTTATTTCGCATGTTTCTCTTTGTTACACACATTTCTTTATCGTTTCATTTTTTGCTATTTGCGTTTGTTCCACCAGTGATGCACACCACGTGTACAGTAGACGTGAATATGTGTGTGTGTGTGTGTGTGTGTACGTGTGATTAGCTCTCTCGGGAGAGATACGTCGTATCCGTATCTATACGCGAGTTTCCCACACAAACTCGCGTGGATTAATGATTCCCAACTATCGCAATTGCTATTACAATTGCGGAAGAATAGGCGTTTGAAGGTTTTGTATTGAAAAATGTGTCTTTTAATCATTTTATTTCGCCCGAAACAATTTTTGAAATTATTTTGTTGACACATTGATATTCTTTTTAATGCACAAAATTGTATCTTAAAAATTGTACATGTAAATAGATCGAGAGTAAGAGAAAGAAAAGATTTTGCTCAGTTTGGCCTCCTCTCCCAGGCCTGCCATATATAATTTTATAGATAAAAGGTGATATTAAAAACAAAGAGTTTTGGATCTTCGAACCTCCTCCAAGACCCAAGAGGTCGATTGTGTAT